CCAAGACTGCCCCTTCAAAATGTGGGGTGAGCTGAAACCTGTTAACAAACTAGTTTCTAAGCTGAGTTGTCTGATTTTAGTTTCCAGGAGATGGAAACTGAACCTGCTAATTGTCTTTACATGGCTTTCCACTACAGCTGCCCACATATACAACGTTTTTGTACTCATTCAATAAAACTTTTTGCTGCTGGTGATAACAAGGTGACAAGGGTTTTTTGTTTTTGTTTTTTAAAAATCTGTCCTATTGCCAAATTCTGCAAAGCAGTATTTTTCTAATTTTTAAATTAGAACACAGTGGAACACTTCAGGTCTCTCAATCCTGAATTTTTTTTTTTAATGAAATCTTTGTCTCTAAGGAGAAGTCCTAATTTGAAAGTGTTAATTACATATTTGCTGTATATCTTTAAGGGAAATTTATTTATTTTTCTTGTGGAATTTTAAATGACCATACAAAACACATTTTCCAAGAAATAGATTTTCCTTTCTCCCATCACCAAAAAGGAAATTGCATAGAGATGATGTTTCTGGCTATGTCTGGTTGAGCCAGGCTGCCCTGCTGGGCTCAAAGCAGAAACCATCACCAGCAACACTGTTCTCACCAGAAATTAACCACCTGAGAAAGGGCCCATGTACAAAAACAGCAGTCAGCAACTCTGTGATCAAGTTACCAAAGCCAAACATGTAAAAAAAAAAGCTTTTATTCAAGTAGTAGTTTGTTTGTTTTTTTTTTTTGGTAGCAAAAATGCTCTAGACTTCTTACCAATGCCTGCTTTTTGTTGAAGCCAATTTACCCATGAAAATGAAGCTGCTAGTTGTGAGTTGTTTGTTCTGGCCACAACAGGTCAACTTGACCTAATGTGGAAACACTTTTACAGCCCTTTGGGAAAGGCATATTTTGAAGAAGGTCATTAAAAGTTATGGGTATTTGGTGAAGACCTTAACTTTAATATTTACAGAGTGACTTGTATTTACATAGTATTTTTATATGCATTATTTTCTTTAATTCCAAGGAAAAAGTACTGACCGTTTTACCATCATTTCTGTTTAAGAAATAGATCTTGGCAGTCTGTTTTCTAGCTTATAGCTATAAGGAGGTTATTAAAAGAGAAGGTTTTGAACTTTACAGTTAATGCTTATATTCTTTTTTTTTTTTTTCCTTTTTGTCTTTTTTCGTGACCGGCCACGGATTGCAACCCTCAGTGTCGCGCCCGTACCGGACCGGGACCGGCTACGGGATCGCAACCCTCGGTGTCACGCCCGCACCTCGCTCAGCCAGTGAGCGGGAACCGGTCTGTATGTGGGATCCGAACCCTCGGTGGGAGCGCCATCGTGCTCCCAAGCGGCGCACTGTAGCAGTGCGCCACCGGGCTGGCCCTTAATGCTTATATTCTAATACACAGACCTGATCTCCTGACCCTACTCATCAGAACAAATTTTGTTTTGACAATAGTATTCAAAGGCCAAGTACAAAGAATTGTGAGTATCTGTGTTTCTCAAAAATATATATTTTTTTGCACAGTACAGTATCGTGTGCCAGTGTCAATCATCATAGATTTCAATTAAAAGAACATGTTGTAGTTTGATTAAATGTATTTAAAAATATAAACTCTGATATGGGCTCAGATTTGTTTCAAGGCACTTCAAAGAGATTGGTCTGTGTGAGCAGCCAGGCTATAAGAGCTTCAGGAGGCCTGCTGTGGTGCCTAAGGGGATGAACCAATTGTACTTTCTAAAGTTCTGAAGAAGTAGACCTGGAACCTGACAAAGGCTAGTTGCCAGGAAAGGTGTTTACTGCAAGAAGGACTATCCAGGTCTTACCCTGCTGATGTGAAGATTAGTGGTGTGGTCACAGATCTCTATTTCTTTGTTCTCTCTGCCAGGAAGAGCAACAATTGTAGCCTTTCAGTTAGAAGTTCTTTTTTAAAAATTTTTATTTGTTTACCAGAGAGGCAAGATCAGAGACTTAAGAAGGTGGCCACTTTTGAGGGCTACTTAGTCCCAAGCTACTTTGAATTTATTGAGACTGCCACAGGGCCTTTACAGTAGCTATTCTTTGCCTTGAACACACCATTACCAGCTTTATGGTTACTCCCTCACTTTATTCAGGCCTTGGCCCAAATGTGAACACCCCCCAGAGAAAACTTCTCTAACAAACTATCTAATATGATTCAAAATAATCTCTCTAGCACATCCTAGCCCCCTGCTCTTCTATTTTGCATCACAGTGTTCATCACCACCTGCAATCATATTGTGTGTTTGTTTACTTGTTTACTGTCTGGCTTCCACAACAGAATGTAAGCTCCTCATAGGCAGAGATTGTCTCGCTCACTACTATTTCTTTAGCTCCCCAGCAATGCCTGGCAGATGGAAGGTGCTCAGCACAGATGTCAGATGAATAAACAATTGCGGGATGAATGACCAAAGCTGGGAACCTATCTCTGACCCCTCTGACTTCAAGAAAAGACTAAAGCTAACTTAGAAAAATTTTGTTCTATTGATGCATTGGGAAAACCCAGGGTCAGCCAAGCAGTTATAATTTACAGTAACTGTTTGTCTTTCTCTTCTGCTATACTATAAACTCCTTGAGAACAGGGACTTGTGAGTCTGATTCACCACTACAGTCCTGGCACCTCAAACTATACAGAAAGGAAGGTATCAAATTAATTTGTTGAATTTGATTAAAATATGAAAGGTGAGTAGGGGTTAACCAGCTGAGGAGAAGAAGAATGTTCCAAGTAGAGGGAAGAGCATAGCAGAGGCCCTGGAATAGGAATAACTCTGTCCTGATCCGAGGAACAGTATACACACACACACCAAAAATGGTTATAGTTAGTTCTGGTTGGTGGGATTAAGGCAGATTTTAACTTTCATCTTATTTTTTTCAGCATTTTCTAGTTTTTCCGTAATGGATATGTATTACTTTTACAAAGATGAAATGCAACACGTTATTAAAATGAGGATTAAAATATCAAATATAGATTATATCATGAGGTGATATCTAGAAACCATGTATCCATTTACAAGAATTTTACAAAATGTGAGATTACTCTCACATTGACACTGAGCATTTGATTTTTTGGTGTACAAATTAGTAGATGATTTATATCTGTGAAGAAATATTAAATTAGTTTTATCAAGGAACAATCAGACTTGAGAGAAAATATGGTCTAATCACATGGACCAGGTAGCCAACAGGCTGAGTCCCAATGGTGAATAAGATCAAAGTGACTCACTTGTTACTACTGCATGTGACAGATTTACTTTGCCAGACAACTGGACCATGACCTGATAAAATGACCTGATATCCTGGAAATGAAGGAATTCATTTTGTAGGAGCCAGGCCATTGGAAGACTAAAAATATTTACTCTAGGCAAGAAAGGAGGATTAGAAATATCTTTTTGTTGTGTTTTGTTTTTTAGTTTCCCTAATCTGCCTCATTCCAGAAAAGGATGTTTATTATTGCAAAATGTGATTGAGAACATTTTTTTCAAGGTCAGAGTGCTTATGCTTTTGCTTTGGGGTATGAGATAACATGATTCCACAGTTAACATGTCATGAGCTTGGGTGAGAATGGGCAGAGGGCTCTGCAAGCCAAAATCAGCACAGAGAAGGAATTCCTGGAATGGAGGGTGCAGGGATCCCTGGCCCCACCCATCTGAGGAGGAACTTGCCAGAGGCAGGCGATTGTAATCATTGCTGTGGACAATGGATCCAGATGAGCCTCAGAACCACTGACTGGGAGAAGATGTAGCCCCACCCATCTGAGGAGGAACTTGCCAGAGGCAGGCGATTATAATCATTGCTGTGGACAATGGATCCAGATGAGCCTCAGAACCACTGACTGGGAGAAGATGTGGAGGGAGATTACAGGGTGATTGGTATTATTGGAGTACAAGAAATGTGGTTAAGTTATATTTGGATATGGAAAGAGGAATGGGTCACACAGAGGAAAGAAATGAATAATTATGACACTTCCTTTTAAGCAGTACTATATTATTCTTTCGCTGTATTGCTGGCTGTTTTTGCTGAAGAAGTCAGTTAAGTATTTGTGCTTCTTTTAATATAGATATGAAAACACAAATTTCCTTTTAGGAAGTAGAGAATTCATTCTTTTCTCTCTGGAAGGCAGTATACTATAGTGGAGTCAGAAGGTCTGTATTCGAATCTTAGCCCCCACTTGCTAATTCTGTGACCTTGGGGAAGTTACTGCACCTCAGTTTCCTCAATAGTAAAATGAGGAAAATAATAGTGGTTATCTGATAGAGTTGTGGTAATGACTAATGAGATAATATGTGTACAAAATTTGGTACGGTGCTCAGTCAATGCTAGTTGCTCTTATTCACATTTAGATGCTTTTAGGAAATTGGCACAGGGTAGACTCAGTGACCTCTGGAAGGCTGCTTATCTGTAATATGCAGCAGGTTGGGACTGCCATGTGCGTGTCCGAGTGGAAGCCCCCCTAGTCCTCTCTCTCCTGGGCTGGGAGGCATTGTCATGAAATGGAATGAAGTGGAAAGGCAGCAGCTGGTAATGGGATCACGTTATTTCTAAAGGACAGGTAGACTGTGTGTGCTCTATATTTGTACAGGAACATGGAAAGTGACATCAAATATAGCTATGAGACACACGAGTTTTTTTGTTGTGTGTTTGTTTTTGTTGAAGAGTAGGACAGAGTAGGTAGGATAGAGGGAGGGAATACTTACATCAGTTTGGAGAAATCAGTCAGTTATTTCCCACTTAGCTATTAGTTTTCGAAGCATGATAAATTACCCTACTTCAGGGTTGCTGAGATGATCAATTTAAATAACATGGGAAAATGCTTTTTAAAAAGTTAAAATTACTATACCTATACATACAAGGTGTATTTGTGTGATCTGTTTTTATTGTTTTATAATTTGGCTAGCTAGATGTGGATTAGGTTATAAATTTACCCAAGAGACCTAAGAAGCAGGAAATAAAAAAAAATAATCTTTCAGGAAAATAAACAATAATTCCATACCATTTCTGTGAACTGATCTGCACAGGCCATTCGAACCTGTTCTGGAGTTGCTGGGCTGTTCACTGTGAAGTCCTCAGCCATGTCTCTCTCTCTGCGTGCTGTGGCCACTGCATCAGCAATGGCAAAAAACACAGATGACCCCAGGAACATCCCAGACTCCCCGAGGCCCTGCAAGAAAGCACATGTATTTTAGAAGCTTCTACACTAGACTACAAGGTACTAGAGGGTAACGACCAGATGCTGTTCACCATTGAATCCCCAACCGCTGGCAGAGTGTCTTGCACAGAATATGTTCTCAGTAAAGTTTTGTTGACTGACTCACTGACTGAATGAAACTTGAGTACTCTTAAAAATCCCATATCACCTGGACTTCCCAGATCTTTAATCCTGTCTGGGTTAAATCTTTGTTCTGCAGGAAAAGACGTGTATGTATGTGTGTGTCTGTGTGGTGAGGGGAGGGTACACTATTTAGTAAAGAATGTTCAGTAGATTGAATTGGCCAACTTCATGAGCACAGAGAAAAATGCCTCATTATGACTCCAGGGTCAGGAGAGGCAGGGTATTCTAGAAGAAAGAGTACAGACTTTGGTACCAGATGAAAGGTTGCAAACCCATCACCTGGAAGGAACAGGAGAGTAAGTGAGTGACGTGGGCACATGAAGGACAATAAGGAGTAGTGGACTGTGATAAAGTAGAGATACCCCTATATCTTATCTAAACGGAGCAGCTGTTCTTTGGTTGTGGTTAATTGTTCCTATCAGGAGTACAGCCATCATTACCAGGTCATCCAATTTTTCAAGAGAAGTTAGATATTTGTAGTTTAACGTAAAACTCCCTTATTTTTAAAAACACTGTATAGGCTAAAAAAACCCCACCAATAAACAAAAAAAATTTCAGGCTAGATTTGGCCAGTGGGCCCCTGAGCTAGAGAGACCAAGTTTGAATCCTGGTCCTTACTCTGTGTTTCTCTGGATAAGGTAGATCATCTCTCCAAGCCTCTGTTCCTTTGTTAGTGAAATGTAGACAAGGACACATACCTTATATGGTGCTATAAGGATTAGGAGGTGCAAAATCATCTAGCACAGCTCCTGGTACCTGGTAGCTCCCTGTTATTATTACACAGTACTTTCCACAGGGAGACCTGCAAACCCATGATTTTCCTGAGGGTTTGATTGTGAATGCTGCATACAACCACAAAGACGCCGGGGTCCTGTCTGCCCTGTTACTTTCGGTGGTCTGAAAGCTGCTCCCTGAGGTCTCGGAGCTGCCTTGTGCCTTTTCTCCTTTGAGTGATTTCCACTCCAATGACAATTGAAAGGCTGTGTTAATCGTCCTTTCTTTCAGATTGGCCCTGGCTTCACCACCATAGATCCAGAGGAATTTCCTGGGCTGAAAGTGGGATCCAGTTTAGAAATGATGAAATTCCTGCAGATATATTGAGATTCTTCCNGGGTAGCTCCCTGTTATTATTACACAGCACTTTCCACAGGGGGACCTGCAAACCCATGATTTTCCTGAGGGTTTGATTGTGAATGCTGCATACAACCACAAAGACGCCGGGGTCCTGTCTGCCCTGTTACTTTTGGTGGTCTGAAAGCTGCTCCCTGTGGTCTCGGAGCTGCCTTGTGCCTTTTCTCCTTTGAGTGATTTCCACTCCAATGACAATTGAAAGGCCGTGTTAATTGTCCTTTCTTTCAGATTGGCCCTGGCTTCACCACCATAGATCCAGAGGAATTTCCTGGGCTGAAAGTGGGATCCAGTTTAGAAATGATGAAATTCCTGCAGATATATTGAGATTCTTCCTTATTTATTTATTTATTTTGGTTCCAATTTGTCCACCCTTAGCAAGAAGTCTCCCAAAAGATTTTAAAGAAAACTTTAACAATACATCTCAAACCTAGAAGCAGTTTCTACTGAGTGTGCTTTCATGTAATCTGCACACAGTAATGCAAACAAATGCTGACCTTTATTTTAATTTTCGGTTTCATTACTTTAGCAATTATTAAGGTAGATGTCTTTGCTTTCTGATGCTATTGACATTTTGGGCTTTATTGTGGGGGGTCGTCTTGTGCATTGAAGCCTGTTTATCCACATCCCTGGCCTCTAACTACTAGTAGTAACATCTCCCTATCCCCTAGTCGTGACAACCAGAAATGTCTCCAGACATTGCCAAATGTTCCCTGGGGAGTGAAATCACCCTCCCAACCCCCGCCCTCCACCACCAGGTTGAGACACACTGCTCTAGGTTCATTTCTGGGTATGGCTGAGGACCCTGAGCCTCTCAGAGGTGAGTGGTTTGCCTGAGATTACAGGGAGGTGATGCGGCTGCAGCAGGAACCCAGGTCACTGGGGCCTCAGCCCCGGAGTCTTTCCAAGCTGCTACTGCTTTCTGAGATTTCTGTAGCATTGTGCTTTAATCTCATTTAACATTCTAGTCTTAAGGTTCTTAAGTCACAGTGTTATTCTGTCAAGAAGTCAAGGCTTTTTGCTGAATTGTAGAGTTTTTGGTGAAAGAGGATATCAATAAAATGCTTGGCACATGATTGTCATTGGTTGGATCATTTATCCTTCCTGGATCTCAGTTTTCTCTAGGTGATTCATCTCTAAATTCTAAAAGTCTATAGTGATTTGGTCCTCAGAACAGTTAACATTTATATTTTATTTTGTCCACTGACTTTCATTACCTGATCCATTTACGTTGTGCAGTAGCAGGTTTGGGTGCTTACCTTGGATGAGTAGATGGTTAGTGGGGTTTGTGAAGAGGGCAAAAAGGAGACGTTGAACTCTTCTGGGACATCAGTGATGGTTGGAATTTTGTATTCATCTGGGCTCCGGGAGTACAGGAAACCTTCTGGAGAATATTTCAACTCTTCAATAGTATAAAGGCCCATTCCTTGAATAAATGAACCTTCAATCTGAAGGGGGACAATTTCAAGCTTTGTGACATTGTATCCTTTGTAGAAGACCTTTAACTACCCTGCAGTCACTCTCTGGAAGGGGCATCCACCCAAGTGGGCCAGCACCTACCTGCCCAATATCGATGGCCGGATTTAGGCTGCAGCATGCATCCATGATGATGTCCGTTCTGATTTTCTGTCCAAAATAAAAATTACCTCATCATAAAAACTTGAATTAAAAAAATGTTATTTTAAGGTTTATTTGAAAGGTCTCCAGTTATTCCAGAACTCCTGGTTAACACTGAACTGAACCCTGTCAATATTAGAGCTGGTAAGACACCTCTTAAGCGCTTCAAATTTAGTGCTAGGACTGTCAATGACCCTGAAAGGTCTTTTGGATTCATGGTTTTGACTCCTCTTAAATGACTCCAAAGTCCACAATACGTTGGTGTGTATGAGTTAGTCACTTGGTAGATAATTGAGCCTGGTTGCTCATGAGGTTATCAACCTGGATTTGTTGTTCTAGTATAACTCATGTGTTCATCTAGTCCTCATGATAGTCTGATGTGGGTGGTATTGTTGACATTTTACTCAGGAAATCATATAGTCATTATGGCATGTATGAATTGGGAGATTTGCAAGATTTTTGGAAGATATTAAGGGCAAATGTTGAGACCACCTTTGACTTTGCTAATCTACTTCCTTCTCTGAGAAACATCACACTTATTTGGCCCTTCTGTTTTGACACTGGGCATGTGCATACAGATTGTTAAGGAGCCACAAAAAGCCTCTAAGTGCCCGTAGTCTATCTCAGGAATACCTATGGGCTTTCCTCTGCCCCCATTTTCTAGTGCTTATTCAAATAACATCATTATTCTCTGTTCAGGCTCAAGACCTGGGCTCCTACTTTCTATCTAGCCCTTTGGATTTGGCAATTCTCTTTTGTCTCAAAGCTTGGCTTTTCAGAAAACCTACTCTGGGCATTGGGACCAGCCTTCATTCATCCTCAACCTGGATAGGGCAGGGGGCTGCCTGGCCTCAGAGAGGGCTTTCAGTTTACTTCTTTCTCTCTCTCTCTTTTTTTTTTTAAAGATGACCGGTAAGGGGATCTTAACCCATGACTTGGTGTTGTCAGCACCACGCTCACCCTGTGAGCTAACCGGCCATCCTATATGAGTTCAGAACCCGTGGCCTTGGTGTTATCAACACCACACTCTCCCGAGTGAGCCACGGGCCGGCCCAGTTTACTTCTCTCTTGAAACCTGGTGTGTTCTGCATTATGGCTGTTGGACGTGGAAAGTGATGGCTGTGCTGAATCAACGGATGCTTTAGTTAACCAAGCACAAACAGCTAGCAGCAACAGGCCTGCCATTTAATTCTCTGATTTCTTTTTAATTGAAAGAAGTTTTACCTCTTCAAGGAACACACTTTTTAAGAGACTATAGTGAGACTGAAATAACTGAACTTTAACCTGTAAGTGTAAACTAGAAGTCATAGGGAAGACCAAATTTTAACTTTTCTGGCACCATAAATTCTAGAAGATCTCCATGAGGTTTGTTTCTTTAGGGATTTATATGATGGCCTCAGGTAGAATTGACAGATAAAATAAGTATGTCCCAAATATTGCATGGGACATGTTCATACTAGAAAACTATTTGTTGTTTATCTGAAATTCAGATTTAACTGAGTGTCCTGTATTTTTATTTGCTAAATCTGGCAAAGTAGCTGTTGGGGTGAAGGGTCAGGAAACTAGCTGATCTCTAAAAACAGCTTCCCACCTAGCATGGAAACTCAGATGGATTACAGGTGTGCTGAGACACTGGCACCTGGGCTTTGGGCAGGTCTGGGACAGGACCCCCAGGTTGGCCAGCTGCCACCATGGCTTCTGTTTGCCACACTGTGCTGTGCAAATATTATCATTATCTTTGTGTGCCATGATTTGAAAAAGATTAGGAAACTTTTTTTTTTTTTTTGGCAGCTGGCCAGTATGGGGATCTGAACACTTGATCTGAAAACATGCTTTTAAAATAATCATATGAGCAATCTGTGATCCCATGAGTTTACTTTTTAAAATGATCTAGAATACAAATGGAGATACAATATTAATGTATACTAAGGATGAACTTCAGTGAAACATGAGGGCAACTGCTTTCCAGACTTCCCTTCATTCACTTTATGTGTGTGTGTGTGTGTATACATATATATGTATTTTTTGTTATTCATATAATTTTTAAGTGGTGGAGAAGTTAACAAGCAATAGGACAATAAAAGACATTTTGATAAGATTTACATGTCAGTATTTGCAAAGCCCTTTCTCTCCTACACATACTAACCATTTTTGGTTTTGGTCAAGGTGTCTCAAGGTGGTGTTGAAATAATTTGTGAATGGAATTTAGATGTGACATTGGCGCATCCTACAAACTTCCTAATGATGTGGAAGAGAGGGTCTGGGAAGGCTGAATAGCCAGCCTCAACCCACTGCATCATCTCACCGGGTTTTTGATTCTGCCACAGGAAGGAATTCAAGGGCAGAGTCACAGTAGAAAGTGAGAACAGGTTTAATGTAATGAATAAGAGATAACAGATTTAACAGAGAGAGTGCAACCTAGCTCCAGAGACCAAGCAGGGCCTGCACCAGGTTTAATGCAAAAGTAAGAAATACACACTTAAAGTTTAATACAGAATGTAGGCTGGCTCAAGAGAGTGAGCAGCCACTTGCTGAACGTAAGTTTGATACAA